GGGAAGTTCTCAGCTATTATTTCCTTGAATAGGCTCTCTGTTCCTCTTTCCCTCTCTTCTCCCTCAGGAATACCTATAATTCTTATGTTACATTTCCTAATAGAGTCAGATATTTCTCGGAGACTTTCTTCATTTCTTTTTAGTCTTAGTTCTCTCTCCTCTTCCATCTGGAGCATATCTGTATTCCTATCCTTTATAATGCTACTTCTTTCCTCCATATTGTCAGCTCTGTTCTTTGAAGATTCCAGATTCTCCTTTATCTCCTCCATTGTATTCTTCATCTCCATGAGTACTGATTGATTTTTCTTTATGATTTCAATCTCTTTTGTGAAGAAACTCTTTATCTCATTGTGAATTGTTTGTCTGTGTTATCTTGTATTTCGCTGAGTTTTTTTTATAATAGCTATTTTGAAATCTCTGTCGTTTAAGTTATGGATTTCTGTGCCTTCAGGGTTGGTTTCTTGGTGCTTGTCATTTTCCTTCTGGTCTGGTGATTTCATGTACTTTTGCATTGTGGTTCCTGTATTCGCCTTATTTTTCCTCATCCTGGAAATATCTGGTTGCAATTTCCACCCACCACCACTGTGTGGGTTCAGGGCTGTGTAATCTGAGCCCCCTGCACTCTGCCCCAGCTGCTCCCTGTGATCGGCCAGCCGCTCGGTCTGGTCTGGTTGGCTGAGCTTCAGTGTCAGGCATGTGGGGAGAGGGGCTCTCTCTTTTGCCCACTGGGTCCCTGGTGTGGGGGGCTTCTCGCTCGCCCCTCATTATCAGCTCTCCTGGGGTGCTCAGATGTTGATGGCACCCCTGCAGCAGTTCTGAGTCCTCTGGGTGGGAGTTTCCCACTGGCTGAGAGAGCCCAAAGAGCTACGGTTTCCCCACAGAAGGCCGCCCCTCCCCACTCTCTGGGAGCCACTCGGACCCAGATCGCTGATGTGATGGGGAGGGAGAGGATTTCTCCTGACCTCTCCCCACTTCCTCCCCCCCCCCAGCAAGTCCACTCTCAGATGTGCGGCAGTTTGGATCTTTCCGATCTTCCTTTTTGCTGTCTAGGAGTCCATTGTTATTCTGTGACTGTTCCTTTTGTTGTATCTTATAGGGGGAAGAGTTTACGGGAAAGCTCACTCCGCCATGATGCTGACGTCACTCACTGAGTTTATTTATTTTTAAGATAGGGAAGATCTAAATATGTTTGGTTGCCAATGGGAAGGAAATAAACCTGTTTGATTAGCCAGTGGTGAAAGAAGATAAAAGTTAGTGGAAGGAACAGGGTTCTTGAGAAGATAAATGTGGGAGAACAAGCAGAAGAGTTGAAAATAAAGAACATAGAGGGTGGTTAACATTGGAAAGGAATCAGGACACCTCGTCCTTGTAGAAACAAGAGAAGGAAAAGGTGATTAAAGATACAATCTCAGTCAAAGAAAACGTGGGGTCATCTCCTCTAAGAGTGAGTGGGTTCAGGGGTGTGGTCAGTGTAATTGGTGTGTTCTCCCAAAGTTTGGAATGGTATGATAGGGCTACAATAAGAGAGAGACAAAGATAACGTAGGTTATGGTCTGAATGAGCACACTTTTGAGAACAAAAGGGTTGCTAACAGGTGGGATGCCTGCACAATAGGTGTCAGCTGGAGTCTCCTGGGCAAACAAACATATGGTCACCCTAGAAACAAGCACTACCCCTATGGAGGGAGCAGCTATTAGTGTGGATGTGTGACGGATCCATTCAGCCACTGCAGCTCTCTCTAGCAGCATTGCCAGTACAGGGTCAGAATCAAAGAGAGTAATAGGCTTACAGAGCTGGGAAAAAAGCAATGCAGGCATATTAGAAGGTCAAAAGAATGAGGGATCCTTGACTCGTTAACAACATCTTTGGAATGGCTGGCAATAATCGACTAGCATTGTCCAATAGCGTTGTCTACAATGGTGGAAATTTCCTCTAGCCACTTACCTCGCAGCTGTTGAGCAAAATAATTATTAATTTCAAATAATTTTAGTTTAAGTCTAAATAGCTACACGTGGCTACCATATTAGAAAGTGCTGGTTTAGATTAAGCCAGGAGAAAAGAGACGCCAAGAGGAGATTAATGGACTATAAAGAAAGTGCAGCAAAAGTCAAAAAGCAGAGTAGGAGTTTATTGTGCAGATTTTAGAGTAAATGTAACTGTGTTTAGTTCTGTTTAATGATGAAGTCGAAGTGTGACAGTGCTTGATAAGAACCAAAGAAAAGAGTTGGCGGGATCGAGAAAGTTGAGGAATGATGTCCAAATATGGACAGTCATGTGTGTGACCCTGGACCCAGGGTGTAATGGGAGGTAGCGAGGTGCTGCATCTCACACGAAAGGCCTGAGGGAACGTCATTGGGTCCCAGAGAACGTGAGATGAAAACTGTAAAGTAAGGAGAAGAAGATCAGCAAATGGCTAAGATTTCAAGAGGACAAATTTTGCTTTTGTTTTTGTTTTTCAGATATTTGTTGAGTTCTGAGGGGTTTTCTGGAGGAGGCAGTGTGGATCAAAAAGAATGTAGATTCCTTCCTCTGGCCCTGGTTGTGGCAGAGAGACAAAGGGGAAAATTAAAATTGATTTCCTTTTGACAAAGGAGGATAGTAGTGGTGTTTAAACTTTTCTTTTGTAATACCTTTAGTATGCTAGGTGGTAGGTCATTCATTAACAATGTATTTTAAACTGAATTGAATGATAAATTGTATTAACAAATAATTTTATTTTACAGATCTGCTTTAACTTTGGAAATGGACTCCATTTAGAGGTAAAGCACCAGGGGGATTATTTCTGTCTTTTGGTCTCAGAGGCTTAATTTCATGGAACACAATTTGACTGTGCCTTCCCAGATTAACAATGCACACTTCCTTAGACCCAGCTGTTCCCATTCAAACAAGTGCACAGGAACATATATCCAGGGATGTTCAGTGCAGCATTTTTTGACAATCTAAAAGTCCATCAGTAGGAAAATGGTGAAACAATTTATGGTACATGGAAGAACGTGTATGATGAGATATTGAATGAAAAATCAGGGGGCAGAATGCGAAGTATAGTATACTTCCATTTTTATAGGAAGAAGACCTTTATATGTGTGCAACTGTATGGTCCTGAGAAAAGATCAGAAACAAATATTAACTAAGCTGCTAACAGTGAATACTCTGTGAAGTATGAGTGAAAAAGTAGAAAGAAGTTTTTCATGTTTACATTAAAAACTCCAATATTATTTCAATTTTTTAATATAATTTTTTAAAGTTATAGAATTTTTTTCAAATGAAAACAAAAAAATTCAATGACCTAGTGATAACCAGTGTAAATATTTTGAAATAAAATACACGTTACGTAGAGCAACAAAACAAGTAAAACGTAGAAAAACAATCATTTTTGATCTTAAGATACTAGGTCAGCTGTATTGAAATTTTCCTTTGATAGAATATATATTTTTATTAAAGCCCAACTAAAAATTTACAGAATAGTTTTCTACTTAAGATTCTGAAAACAAAAGATGGGCAATTTAATCCTTTACCCTATCCTTAAAAATAAATTCATTAATTGACAGTTTCACCAGTTTTAGCTAAATTGATAACTGGTTACTAAGATTTAGTCTTAAAGCATTTAATAATTCATTTTTAAACTATAAGCCACCACAAGAAAATGAAACTTCATTTTCAGTTAGTAAAAAAAAATTCTTGACATGGTATATTATTTTTAATTTGCCTAATTCTAAGATCACTAAATTATTCTTTAGCCTTTTTAGCTCTTCAGTCTGAGAAATCTTTTTTTACTGATAAAAACTAAACCCCGCCACTGTATTGTTTGGAGACAATCTCTTGAACGCCTATAGAGTTCACTAGAATGTATACATTTCCTCTTTGAAAATGAATCCTGTTAAGAAATATGAAATTTAGGGGCCGACCCCGTGGCTCAGCGGTTAAGTGCGTGCGCTCCGCTGCTGGCAGCCCAGGTTCGGATCCCGGGCGCGCACCGACGCACCGCTTCTCCGGCCATGCTGAGGCGGCGTCCCACATACAGCAACTAGAAGGCTGTGCAACTACGACATACAACTATCTACTGGGGCTTTGGGGGAATAAAATAAATAAATAAAAATTTAAAAAAAGAAAAAGAAATATGAAATTTATATCTTAAAACTTGCACAACTATTTTTAAAGTTGTAGTAAATTTAGTAAAGTCTAGTAAATTTAGTAAATACCCTACTAATGTCTTAGGATATTTAATAATTTTTTGGCAATATTTTATTGTTGTAGGTCTTAAACACAAGAAATGAGAATAAGCTGCTTTCTAAACATACTCACCTAGTGCGGCAAAAGCGGGCCTGGATCACCGCCCCTGTGGCTGTTCGGGAGGGAGAGGATCTGTCCAGAAAGAATCCGATCGCCAAGGTACCTTCTAAAGAGGAACAGGAAATATATGCATTTGTTTAAAATACGTTGTGAAAGACTTTTATGTTCACTTTAAAATTTAAGGAAAATTATATAATGTAAAATTACTGAGTCTTTTAATATTCCGTATGTATTTGAAAATTAGCAGAGCTCGGGCCAGCCCGTGGCTTAGCGGTTAGGTGAACGCACTCCGCGGTTGGCAGCCCTGGTTCGTATCCTGGGAGCGAACCGACGCACTGCTTCTCCGGCTATGCTGAGGCTGAGTCCCACATACAGCAACTAGAAGGATGTTCAGCTATGACATACAACTATCTACTGGGCCTTTGGGGGAAAAAAAAAAAAAAATTAAAAAAAAAAAAAAAAAGAAAATTAGCAGAGCTTAATTTTTAGCAGAAAGTGCCAACCCAAAGATCCGCTTTCCCGTTCTGGAAGATACGTCATTAGCGAAAATATATGTAATTTGGGGCTTTGACTCAACTAAGAGTTAAGGGATCTGGCACTAGTTGAATCTTTGTTTAACACACGGCGTTAAACATACTCAAAATAAGACATTATTATCTGTAGGGGAGGAAAAATTTTTTTCTTGCTACCCTCCTAGGTTCTCTGGCTGGGGCCCTGTAAATTGGACTGACAAAAGACAGATTAACAAGAGAAAAACAAACAGAAGTTTATTACCATATGTATCATGCATATCACACCTGGGAGTACCCAGAGATGAGAAACTCAAAAGTTTGCTTAGAACTTGGGCTTATATAGCGTCGTAGCAAAGGAAAGATAAATTTTTATAGAAGGGACAAGGAAAAGGACCTTGAATCTCTAAGGGGTAGTAAATGGCTAATAGTAGAAAAAGGCTAGTTAGTAAAGTTTGTTATGTGGATTTCTGGTGTCATCTCTAAGCCAATAAGGGTGTAAAGTTGTCTCTGATGATTGAGTTTTGTTCTTCCTGGCAGAAAGGGCAAGGAGGGCACCTTTACAGATTTTTGTCCTGCTTCTAGGCAAAAGGGGGAGGGCAGAGAACTTTTCTCTCATCTGCTTCTTCTCAATTGCCTTCAACCTCAAAATAACCCTATACCAAAGTGTCATATTTTCAGGTGGCATATTCTGCCACACTACACATAAAAAGTAATTTTCAAAATTAAAAGAACCAATATCTAGTAAGTAGGATGACCATACATTCTACTTGAGACAGTCTTCATTTATGCCCATTGTCCTGGCTTAATAATTCACAACTCCCCTTTTGCCCTCAAACTGTCCTTTTTTTTTTTTTTTTTTTTTGGTGAGGAAGATTAGCCCTGAGCTAACATCTGTTGCCAATCCTCTTTTTGTTGAAGAAGGTTGGCCCTGGGCTAACAACCATGCCCATCTTCCTCTACTTTTTTATATGTGGGACGCCTGCCATGGCATGGCTTGATAAGCAGTGCATAGGTCTGCACCCGAGATCAGATCCCGTGAACCCTGGGTCACCAAAGTGGAGCGTTCAAACTTAACCACTGGCCCCACTATCCTATTGTTGGATTATGATAATCATACTAATATGTATCTCAGACTTAGTATGTGCAAACCTGAACCCTTGATTTTTCCCCTAAAGCTGTTTTCCATAGGTTCTACCCATTTCAGTAAATGGCACTATGATTCTATCCAGTTTTTAAAAATTGTGGCAAGTACTATCAGGTCTACCCCCAAAATATATCCGAAATCTGCCCACCTCTCTACACTGCCACCCCCCTCGTCCAGGTTACTGTCGTCTCTGACCTGCGTTACGAAAGAGCCCTTGACCTGTCTCACCACTTTCACTCTTGCCACCACCCCCATCCCCTCAACAGTCCATTCTCCAGACAGCAGCCAGGGTGAGCTTTTGAAAAGATAGGTCAACGCATGTTCACCCCCTTACCGGGACCCTTTCAATAGCTTCCCGCTGCAGTGGAAGGAATAAAGGCTCTACCCTGGCCTGCAAGAGCTCTTGGGGTTTGTTGGCCTTGACCTCCTCTCTGACCTCAGCTCCTCTCACCCCCCAATCCCGCACTCTGCTACGTCCCTAAACCCATATAAGCTCATTCCAAGCTCTCACCCTTCACACTTGCTATTCCCTCTGCCTGGAATCCCCTCCTTACAGATATTTGCAGCATCTCACAGGATCAAGCCTCTGCCCAAGTGTCACCTTTTCAGAGAGTCCCCTTCCCTGCCTCATCCCATCTCTTTCTATCCCATTACTCCGTTTCAGCTTGATTTACTGCTCATTCCACTCCAGGACATTATGCTGTATGTTGCTTGCTTGTTGTCTGGCTCCCTCAGTAGAGTGTAAGCTTCCTGAGGGCAGGGGCCTAGTCCTTAGGCTCACAACTCATGCCCTGTGCCCCGAGCAGTGCCAGCATCCAGCAGGTACTCAGGAAACATTTGTGTGAATGAATAAATGTTCATACCCAAGTGTTACCTTCCTCTTTCCACTCTTATAAATGTCATACATGAAGAGCTCCTTAAAAAAAAGAGCAGCTATGGAATAGAAGACAACAATTTCCTTTCTCCAGCAACATGTTGTTTTCATAAAAGCCTTCTAAAATCTAAGTTTTTGTGTGTGTGTGAGGAAGATCAGCCTTGTACTAACATCTGCCAATCCTCTTTTTTTTTTTTTTTTTCCTGCTGAGGAAGACTGGCCCTGGGCCAACATCCGTGCCCATCTTCCTCCACTATATATGGGACGCCGCCACAGCATGGTTTGACAAGCGGTGCGTCAGTGTGCGCCCGGGATCCGAATCGGCGAACCCTGGGCTACCGCAAGGGAGCGTGCGCACTTAACCGCTTTTGCCACTGGGCCAGCCCCTAAAATCTAAATTTTTCGTTACAGTTATATTACATAATAGTATATATAGTATTGTATAGTATATATACAATCAATTAAGTTTTTTGTTTTGGTTTGCTTTGGTTTTGTGAGATATCTGAGTCATTCACACATTCTTTCAATAGGTTTCCCTAAAATGCATTGATTCTTTGGGGTTCAATAAGTGTTAGCTGTTCTTCTTACTAATTTTAATTATACAAGTTGTTAAGAGTAAAATTTACATAAAAAGCAAAAGATCTTATTAAATTTTCCCAACTTTCCAAATTTTCTAGAGGTAATACTTTCAACAGTTTAATATCTTCCAGATCTTATGAAATGCATAAATATGTGTATACTTACATACTCTTGTGTGCATATGTATGTACATACAAACCAACAATTATGTTGACACACAGTCTTGTTTTATTTTTAACATAAATTGAATTATATAATACCTATAATCAGTACATAAAGATCTAGAATATTCTTTATAAGTACTGTAATATATATCCACACATACATATACACATATGTGTGTGTATATATGCATATACACCGTACCGGGCAAAAAAAGAGACAGACAGAAGCACAGAAAAGGAGAAAGTCAAACAGAGACAGAAGCTCTCTGTGAAGAGTAATCATGGGACTGCTCCAGGTTCACCATTCCACTCCGGAACCAGACCTGGTGTCGCAGGAGGTTGGAGGCCCCATCTGCTGTGTGCTTAGTATTCTCAGCAGCAATCCCCTGGCCCCAGTGCATGTTGGGAAACTTATGGAAAGAAAATGTAACTAATCCTGAGGTTTCAGGACAAAGAACGGACCGGACAGGTGGGGGGTGGTGTCTTCAATGATGTCTGAAGGAGGAAATTAAGGAACCAATGGGGGCCACAGAGACTCATCACATTTACTAATGAAGAATTAGAGATACAGATAAAATTCTTCATCGAGGATGAAGATGATAAGTACAGAAGACCCAGTGGGTTAGAAACATTAATTTGCTGGAGCATTTTAAGCAGAGATGGTGCTTGACTATTTTAATCCTTCTATGGAAAGATGCCTTATGCATACTTCCCAGATGATTAAATGGATTTCTGAAGGTGATTTGGACCTTGCAAATTTTACCTCTGTGCTAAATTTGAAATCTGCACCCCCAACGTGTACCCCTAATGATATCTTAATTTCGTAACAACCCTGAGAGGTAGACAGAAGTATCTCTCCACTTTATACATAGGAACACTGAGGCACAGAGAAGGTAAGTGACTGTCTTAGCATCACATAACTAGCGAGTGGCTGAGACGGGAGGGGAATCCAGGTTCTCTGACACCAGCACATCTGCTGTTGAGCCCTTGGGCTCCCCCACCTCTCTGCTATCAGCATCATGACAACTTCACAGGGAAATTTTCCATTAAAAGTATTTACATGTAGGTTATGGAGAGTTTAACTTGAGGCTTCCTCTGTTATTTTTATGTTAGATACATTCTGATATTGCAGAAGAAAGAGAACTAAAAATTACATACAAATACACTGGAAAAGGGATTACAGAGCCACCTTTTGGTGTATTTGTCTTTAATAAAGACACCGGAGACTTGAACATCACCCGCATTCTTGATCGAGAAGAAACGCCATATTTTCTGGTAAGACCAATTTTACATTCATTAGTTTGGAGTTTTTCTTTGATAATAGTTATGCTGTGTTTTATTTATTTTTGATCCATGGTAGTTTAATTACCTTAGCTTAAATCTAATCTCTTCTATTATTTATGTCATGATTTCAGCTAATGGGTTACGCTTTCGATGAAAGAGGAAATAACCTAGAGAAACCATTGGAACTGCGCATTAAAGTTCTTGATATCAATGACAACGAGCCAGTGTTCACCCAGGACGTCTTTGTTGGGTCTATTGAAGAGTTGAGTGCAGCACGTAAGAGTCTATTGTTTTTAAAAATGAACACCCCAAGTCATTTTATCCCCATTGTGTAACTGAACACTAAGTCTTCTATCTTAATGGCGGTGGAGTATAGCCCATGGGACAGATAATAATAAACCTCTTGCTCTAAGTTTGCGACTGCTTTTTTTGTGGTAGGTTTGAAAGACTTTACTTGGCATCTTTTTTTACCCTCAGAACAGATATAGTAGATTGATGTGACAGGTTAGGTCTCTGTAGCAACTGTTCTGCCCTGTAGTGGGCAATATGTAAACAAATGGGCATGGCTGTGCTCCAGTAAAATTTTGCTTACAAAGGCAGGTGACGGGCTGGCTTTGACCCACTGGCAGTCATTTGCTGACCGTTGTTCTACATTATTTTTACTGTCAGGTTTCTTCACAGTGTTGTTCAGTGCGGTGCTCCATATGAAGACTTGTAGGAAAAAGTTCTCTGATCATAATATAAAGAATAACTGTGCTTCTCCTGAATTGTTTGTATTTTAATAAGCATGTATATGTATCTGTTCATCCTTTTTTCCGTGTTGGTTATTAGAACTATTATAAATAAATTTGCAGCCCTCCTGTAGCAAATGTTCAGGACCTTACCCTAAGAATTGTATGTGCTGACCTCAGCCTTGCCCTCATCTTATTTTTCCTACTCCTATATTCCATTCACACTTATCTCCTCATCCAGTTAAACTTTTTGATCTTGGTAAACTGTGATTTTGATAAATACCTGAAATCCTTTTTGGAACAAGCTGAAATTATAAATAAAGTAATAATGGATGTAAATGTGCTTAAAGTTGAGTTTCATCTTGAACACCTTGTTTCTAATGCCAGATACACTTGTGATGAAAATCATTGCAACAGATGCGGATGAGCCCAATACTCTGAATTCTAAAATTTCCTATAGAATCGTGTCTCAGGAGCCTGCTTATCCTCCAGTGTTCTACCTAAATAAAGACACAGGGGAGGTTTATACAACCAGTATTACCTTGGACAGAGAGGTAAATTAATATTTTATGTTACTCATCTTTTAAACTCTCTTTTATCCTTTTAGGTTCTCCTCTCTCATTATTTCTTTCTTTTTTTTTTTTTTTTTCTAATTTTCCTACTTTATTCTATATTCCTCATTCATAGAATAACTTCTGGAATTATCCTCTTCTAGGGATGTGCTGTCTAATATGGTAGCCATTAGCCACATGTGGCCATTGAGCACTTGAAATGTGGCTGGTCCAAATTGAGATGTGCTATAAGTGTAAAATATTCACCAGATTGGGAAGACTTAGTATGAAAAAAAAGAATGTAAAATATCACCTTAATAATTTTTTGTAGATTACATGTTGAAATGATAATATTTTGGATACTATGGGTATAATATATTTGTTTAAAATTAGTATCACCTATTCTTTTTACTTTTTTAAATTGGCTGCTAGAAAATTTTAAATTACGTAAGGACTGCACTGTTCTAAGGCCTTTCCAGTCAGGATTCTGTTTGCTAGAGAGTTCTAAAGCAATGTTCCTTAATTCGTGTTTCTATAATGAAATGTCAGGAGGGTCTCCTTTACTTCTAATATATATACAGAGGGAGGAAAATAATTAAAATATTACCTACTTATGGCAATAGAAACATTTGTAAAGGAAAGAATTATCGTAAATCCCAAATTGGAGGAAAATTTGAGTAGGTTTCCTAGAGAAGCTGTTCTCTCAAACATTTCACTTTTATATTTCTAACTCAAAGGGAAAATTTTAGATGAAAAAGGGAGATGTACAATTTTAAAAATGCTACATACATGAAGGTTTTAAGAGTGTGCATGAGTAAAATGTTGATGATCCTAACACTGAGTTGGCATCACATATAAATCATCCTCCAAGTGCCGTCAGTGTTATTTTGTATTACTTTGAAAAATTATTTGACTCTGCCCAGAGAGGGAGAGGATTGTACCCACAATTCCTTTTGGAATCTTTGTAAAATCAAAGAATATTATTACTCCTAAAATTCTATTCTGCACTTTTCACATAAAATTAGAGTGGAAAAGTATTATTTTGAATTAGTAGTGTGATTTTTTTTTTAACAAGATGCTGTCTCTGAAGTATGGAAGTTTAGCCAGTAATAGTGGCTGACACTTATTGGGCATTTTCCATGTGCCAGGTGCTATTGCAAACCTTTGACATAGATTAACACATTTAATCCACCTAGAAACCCTGTGAGGCAGATCCAATTATTATCCCCATTTTATGCAGAAGGAAACCAAGGGTCAAAGGGATTAAATGTGTGTCCAACAGAGGTAGTAAGTGACAAAGCCAGAATTGGAACCCAGGCAGCTGGCTCCAGAGCCTTTGCTGTCCTGCCTTTCACTGAGCAGTTCTGCCCCACCCAGGACCCCCATGCACTGGTCCTGGCTGCCCGGCTCCTCTTCAACTCCAGCCACACTGAATGGGGCCACCATAAGGGACCAGGTGGAAGAGAAGGGTTCACTTTGGAGTAACATCCAAAATGTCATTCCCTGGGACACATTCTCTAAGAATCATATCTCTCAGGATGTCTGGACCAAGTTCAACAGGTTTTGCCTTCACTGGCTTAGTTTTCTTGGGGACTAGATTTTCTTAGCTTAACTTTTAGCTGAGAATAGAATGTGGGGCCGTCACTTCCGGTGCAGAGCAAACTACATTTTGAACGTACTCTTTCGTGCACAGACTGTCTTAAGGAGAGACTTATCTCCTGATAATATCACCAATGGCATATTTAAGAATTTGACTATCAACTACCCCCTAGGCTTTTCTGCCCTTCTAGAAAAGCTCTGATGGCAAATAAACAGCATCTTCACACAAATAACAGCAGATCATGAAACTTACTTATGAATAAAATATACTGTGATTCCTTCCCTTGATGATAAAGTGAACTAAAAACCAGATTTGGGAAGCAATTTATATTCACCCCAGCTGGATGTTTTTCATTGTCCTGCAGGAACACAGCAGCTATACTTTGACAGTAGAAGCAAGAGACGGCAATGGACAGATAACAGATAAACCAGTGAAACAAGCTCAAGTTCAGATTCATATTTTGGATGTCAATGACAATATACCTGAAGTAGAAAAGAACATGGTAACTATTGTTTTTATAATAAATGTACCTACTTATTCATATTGTAGTCCCAACTAAGAATATATCGCTTATGTTTGTGTTACATTAAAATAAAAATCGTATGTTCATGTTTTGCAGTATGAAGGGACGGTTGAAGAAAATCAAGCCAATGTAGAAGTTATACGCATAAAAGTGTTCGATGCAGATGAAATAGGCTCTGATAATTGGTTAGCAAATTTTACATTTGCATCAGGAAATGAAAATGGTTATTTCCGCATAGAAACTGATACTCAAACTAATGAAGGAATTGTGACCCTTATTAAGGTAAGTACTTAGTGTTCAAAACTGGAATGGAAGAAGTTGGTGCAGGGGAGGAAACTGAAATATTTTGAGCCCCAAACACTTACAAGTGCTTTACATACTCAATTAACTGGCATCACAATTGTTTGAGATGGGAGCCATCCCTATTTGCCCAAGTTCTATGGTTAGTTAAGTGGTCACACTGTAGTTCATATTCAGATCAGGGGACTCTAATTCTAACCTGACAGCATGATACCAGCATCATTATTGCTTAGTACACTTCCAGTCTTGCTTGCCTCCTGTGCCTGACTATAGCATTCCCGCATCATGACCTCTTAACCCCTACTGAGTGTCCCCCAACTTACTATCTCTTATTGATCCACTTAACAGTAAAGCCAAACTTCATTAATAACATCTAAAAACAAAAGCTGTTATAACTGGATAAAGCTCTAATCCAGTTGTCCTCATACTTAAGTATGTCTAAGAATCACTTAGTAAAGCTGTATGCCAAAAATGCAGATTCCTTGACCCCATCATCAATAATTCTGATTGAGTGGGCTCAGGAACTTACCTTTATAACAAAAATCCACTTGTGATTCTAATATAAGTAGTATCAGGATCACATTTTGAAACACAGGGTTTCTAACCTCTTGTGCTTAATTTAATCAACAAAGGAAAAATTAAATAGTCTTATTAAGCATATGGGTCTTATACATTTGAAACTCATTACCCCCACAGAATTTTTTTAAGCAAAAATTACAGAATGGATTTTTAGCTAATGGAGTAAGTAAGGAAGAATATCAATGTATTTTTAAATGGTTTATGATAGTTGCCTTTATCAGATTTTAAAATAAATTGTAAAGCTATAGCTTTCAAAATACTATTCCATTAAGACACACAGGCAAAAATTCATTCCAGAAGTTTCCAAATATTTACAAAATCTTAATGTATGACAGAGTAGGTAAAATCTAACAGTGGGAAGAGAAATAATGATAATATAAATGTATAACAGAATAGAGAAAAATTAACTTGAAGTTTCATGGTAATAATTCTGGGCACCATTTATCAATAGGCTACTATATGCATTTAGACTACCTTTTTTTAAAGCAAAGAAAACTAGAATACAATTACCTCATGATTAAATGGAAGACGCATTTTATGATTATTGAAGAAAAGGATAATGGCATCAGAGACAAAATAGATTTATCTGCTTATACAGAAGTAAGCATACTTTTTAGTCATCGATTATAGGTGGAGCCATGCTAGATGCTTGAGATAAAAAGCCAATAACACACATAAGGAGAAGCAGTCACTTAGTCATGAATGATGAAAGTGCTAGAATAGAAGTATTCTCAGTGTACCATGGTAGCACAAAAAGGAATATAGTTATTTCTACCAAAAGGGGCATGGGCAAAAAATAGTAAAATTGGTATTAAAATGACAGCAACAGATTGAGAAAAGTACAAATTTACTGTCTCAGTTGTATAAAGAATTGCTTCCAAATTAGAAGGGCAATAATCAGATTCCACTGAAAGGAAGTTAGACAAAGAAGAGATACAAATAGCAAATACAGACATAAAAAGATATTCACCATCATTAATTATTAGAGAAGATGCAAATTAAAACTACGTGAGATACCACTATACACCTACTAGAATGGCTGTCATCAAAAAGACCGACAACACCAAATAGCAGCAAGGATATAGAGAAACTGGAACCCCTGTATATTGCTGGTGGAAACATAAAATGGTGTAGCTAGCTTGGCAATTTTTACAACATTAAACATAGAGTAGTTACCCAATGACCCAACAATTCAGTCCAACAAATCTACCCAAGAAAAATAAAAACATGTATCTACACAAAAACTTGTATGCAAGTGTTCATAGCAGCTTTTATTCATAATAATCAAAAACTGGTAACAATCCAAATGTCCATCAATTGGTGAGTGAATAAACAAAAAGTGGTCTCTCTATACAGTGGAATACTGTTGAGCAATAAAAAGGAATGAAGTACTGATACATGTTACTGGATGAACCTCAGAAACATTAAACTTTGTGTAAGAAGCCAGACAAAATACTACATATTGTATGATTCCATTTATGTGAAATTTCTAGAAAAGGCAAAATGATGGATCTAGAAAGCAGATCAGTGGTGCTTGGGGCTGGGGGATATGAGTAGGAATTGACTGAAAACAGGCAAAAAGGAATTTTTGGGGGTGATAAAAGTTCTAAAACTGAACAGTCGTGATGTTTGCAAAATCATATAGGGTCACTAAAAATCATCATGCTGTACACTTAAAATGGGTGAATTTCATTGTAGGTAAATTATATCTCAATAAAGCCATCAAAATAAATTATATCTCAATAAAGCCATCAAAAATAAGATAAAGGAGAAGAGCAGATAAGTTTAGACTGTGGAAATAAAGATAATAAATCATTACGTGAGAAAAAGCCTCAGCTTTGTTAACAAATAAGTTTAAAATCTTTAATCCTATTAAAACTAGCAAAAATGGAAATGGTAAAATGTTGACAATTATGAAAAATAAGCATATATGCCCTCTTACATTGCTCTTGATACTGAAAATTTTTCCATTCTCTTTGGGCATTACGGCTATTTATAACAAACACTCTGAAATAGATTTTATGTCCTCAGTACCTAGCTCTTTTTTTTTTTTTTTTAACGTTGTCTTGGCCTTCCACGGTCTTTGAATACTAATGACATTTGGCTGGAAGATTTTATTTCTCATCCAGCATACATCATGCCTTCAAAACAAGCATGTGAAGTGCAAGGGCAACTTAAAAAGAAAACAAAGGGGCCGGCCCCGTGGCACAGCGGGTAAGTGCAGGCGCTCCGCTGTGGCGGCCTGAGGGTTGCAGGTTCCGAGCGCACCGACGCACTGCTTGTCAAGCCGTGCTGTGGTGGCGTCCCATATAAAAAGTAGAAGAGGATGGGCATGGATGTTAGCTCAGGGCCAATCTTCCTCAAGAAAAAAGGGGAGGATTGGCATCGGATGTTACCTCAGGGCTAGTCCTCCTCACAAAAAAAAAAAAAAAAAGTGTATTTTCTCTAGTCATTTCTGTTGTGTGGTTGTCCCAACATCGTAGTGACCCATATAAAAAAAGAGGCAGAAGCTGTCATCCATCCATCTGTATCCTGCAGAGAGGATAACAAATTTCATAATAAATCTTCCAAAAACAAAAGTGAACAGCTTTGCAGTAATTCACGTAAACACATGTAATATATTTAATATTACACTGAAGAAATAAGCAAAAATGGTGAGTGCATCTAAAGGGTCAGGGCCACTAGAAATAAAAAGCAACAACCTAAATAAACTTTGACCAGGTACTTTTTTTAGTAATAGGATATAGCTCAACAGAGGAAAAATGATTTGTATAAAAATGTTCAGAGCAGTATCAATTATATTTAAAAATTGCCAGTAGTCCAAATGCCTAATAATAGAAGGGCTAAGTAAATTAGGTATATCTAAATAGTAGAGTGAAATAGACATGCTTGTAAAAAGAAAATGGACAAATTGGAACATAAAATATGCATACAGTGATAAACTGATTGTGTCAAGTGTACTTTATAAATACCGCAGTTCACAAAGACCAGCATGTTTGGAGGAAGGTTAATTTTTTATGGCATTAATAGCAAACCAAGTATTAATAGACGTTATGTTAGAAAGGAGGAGCGATAGGTTCTTTATTTAAAAATAACAACAAGGGCCGGCCCCGTGGCTTAGTGGTTAAGTGAGCGCGCTCCACTGCTGGCAACCGGGGTTCGGATCCCGGGCTCGCACCGACGCACTGCTTCTCTGGCCATGCTGAGGCCGCGTCCCACATACAGCGACTAGAAGGATATGCAGCTATGACACACAACTATCTACTGGGGCTTTGGGGGGAAAAATAAATAAATAAATAAAATCTTTAAAAATAACAACAGAAAAGTTAACAACAAAGTTAAACAGTTGTCTTTCCTCCAGGAGGTCTCAGCTTTTTGCTCTGCTAATGTGCAGTGAACGTCTATGTTAGGGGGACAGAGCTGGCAGTGCTGCCATTATGTGGCCCTTTTCACCAGAACACACTCATAGGACACAGTTTAAGGAATACTCATTTATATTAAATGTCCATTAATTTTTTTCATTAAGGAAAAAAACCACTTCAAATTGTTAAAAACATGTACGTTTTAAAAATGATTTTGACCTTTAAAAAGATTAATTAGGGATGCTTCCTAAACTTTCTTAACATTTATGAATATCCAAGTTGACAGACTTGAATTGCATGGTATCACCATGAGAGTTGGAATACTCAGTGCTGCTGTATCTGCCATGTGTGAAATTATCATATCTAACCTTAAAACCACACGTGTGTGTATGTGTGTTCTATGTCGGTTCTAGTTGTTTTCTTTTTTAAAAGAATCCTTTGATTTTGCCTTTCTAGGAAGTAGATTATGAAGAAATGAAGAATCTTAACTTCAGCATCATTGTCACTAATAAAGCAGCTTTTCACAAATCAGTTCAGAGTAAATATAAGCCTATGTCCATTCCCATCACAGTAAAGGTGAAAAATGTGAAAGAAGGCATTTATTTTAAAAGGAGCACAATTTCAATTCGCACTAGTGAGAGCATGGATAAAGCAAGCTTAAGCAAGATAATTGGAAACTTTCAAGCTTTTGATGAAGACACTGGACAACCAACCCGTGTAAGGTAACAGATAGCTATGAATGTATTTCCTCACTTTAAATTACTTTAAATGCCTGTTTTCAAAAAATCATTACAAAGTTTGAACACTTCCCTCTTTCCCCCAGCATTCTAATTCCCCAAAGGTCTGTAGATTAAATTTCCCAGAGTTGTACCTGTAACTGAGAGGCAGGGAGAAATTTCCCCAGACTCCCTTCCTGCCACCACCTGAGTGTGAGGCAGAGGCTGGGTCCCTCACCTCAGAACAATTCTGGGGGCCGGCCAGTGGTGCAAGCAGTTAAGTGCGCGCTCCATTGCAGCGGCCCGGGGTTCACCAGTTCGGATCCCGGGCACGCAGCGACACACTGCTTGGCAAGCCATGCTGTGGTGGCGTCCCATATAAAGTGGAGGAAGATGGGCACGGATGTTAGCCCAGGGCCAGTCTTCCTCAAAAAAAAAACAGGAGGATTGGCAGATGTTAGTACAGGGCTGATCTCACAAAAAAAAAAAAAAAGAACAATTCTGGCTAGGGAACGCTAAAAAGCAACAAAGAGAATGTTCAAAAAGAAACTTTCTAAAATCTGTCTTATTTCCTGAAAGGGTATTAGAGGTAAGAAAGGAACAAATAAAATTTACTGCAAATTCCACTTTACACAAGTTTGGTTAGAAAACAGTTGCATAATTTATTTTAATTTGGTGAAACCAGTTTTATTTGCACATAAATCTTGGAAGTTCGTCTTCATTTCAATCATACTATTTAGTTCAGGGATTGATGAATCTTTTAGCACGTGTGTCTTGATCGTGGTGACCTTTACTCAGGGTATATTTTTTGGGAACCTACTAGATGCCACCACTGTGCTGGAAGTGACTGGATTGTGCCCCCTCTGTAGTGACACCTTAGGTTTGCACGATAGGTTGAAATTTTCGAAGTGAATTTACGTCTTAGATTTCAGAACCATGCCGTGGAAAGATGACTCTGCAGAGCTGTTATTTCTGGAGCTCTCCAGTTACAGCGATTCTGGTGGAGTTGGAAGAAGCCCCACCTGCCACCCGGATACACAACGTGTGTCCCTTCCTGCTGTCAGTGCCAGCGTTGTGTGGTTGTTTGACTGTCCTTAGGCACATGTCCATGGGTGCCAACACTTCATAAAACGTTGTATTTAGACGCATGGCTGACTGTAGCAAGAAGGGGAACGTGAAGGAAGCTCTTCAACAGTCTCTTTCCTTTTAATGGAATTCATCAGCCAATAGTAGCAAATCATTTTTTCCCAAAATGGCATTAACAAACAGCTTCCACTGTGTTTTCTGCAGTCTTGGTGACCCTTTTTGCCCACCCTACCTACAGGAACCAGCCCTGTTTCTCTTGAGTTTTGTAGTCTGGTTTTTGTTTTCACAGCCCTAAACTTAACAAGGCAGTCTCTAACTGAAGCCCCAGAATTGAGGATGAATGTTCCATATGATGATTTCTCCTGCTGTCCACTGAGAGGCTTATGTTCTAATGAATTATCCTCCAATAATATTATGGCTATCTATTGAAACTTCTATTTCCCACATAACTGTTAATTTTGGCTGCTTTTTTTTTTTTTTTTGCTAAGGAAGATGCAGCCTGAGTTAGCATCTGCTGCCAATCCTCCTCTTTTTTTTTTTTGTTTTTTTGTTGCTTGAGGAAGATTAGCCCTGAGCTAACATCTGTGCCAGTCTTCCTCTGTTTTGTATGTGAGTCACTGCCACAGCATGGCTGATGAGTAGTGTAGGTCCACGCCCAGGATCTGAACCCGTGAACCTGGGCCACCAAAGCAGAGCACGCTGAACTTAACCACTATGCCACAAGCCAGCCACTGGCTGCTATTTTTATTAAGAGCTATGAATATTTCAAAAGATTATATGTTCTGCCAGGAAAAACAATGAACCATGTTTCTTTATTTCTCAAAAGTATTTTCTTTTATTCTTTAGTGTACAATTATAGAACAGTCAACTAAAACCTACTATTTTACAGATAAGGAATGAGAGACACAGCTAAGTTAAATTATTTTCCAACGTTCATCTGACTAATTAGTGGTTGCTATTTAGAAATGCTGATAAAGACAGCAGAAGAATTATTCCCTTAACTTTATCATAATTTACTGTTTTACTGATTATTCATATGCATCAATTGTTTATGGATATTTGATATAACATGTGAGCTGCCATCTTATTTTGAATGGTGTCTAATTTTTACAATAGAGAAGAGCAGCTGGAAAATTTCATAAATGAGATCATATGAAACATTCCATTGTGAAATGTCATCATTATTACTATGACTCTGCCTTTATTATAAGTATGAATGTGGGAAACCATTGATGGCATCTAAGTCCAAGCTTTAAAATTCCAGTCATGAAATTCAGAAATACTTGTGAAAACCCAAATGTATTATTTCCTGGTAGAAATATTAAAAGGCAGAAAATTTTAGTTCAAGTGTATGATTGGAATTTTTAAAAAT